AACGGGGAGCACAGGCGCAAGGCATACGGCAATCCAGGCTGCGCCAGAAAAGAGGCCTCAAAGGTTTCCTCACGTGTGACCATGACAAGCTTCAGGGGCTGCCTAAGCACATGCTGCCTTGATACTTCCAGGGTTCACCCCTGGGTCATACGCCACGTGCCAACYCCCCCTCCCCAGTCCCTTCACCCTCTCAGTGCATCTGTAGCTACAAAAAAACAACTGTGAACTGTAAATCCTCTATAAAACCTTCTGAACCCCTTCAGTTGAGCTTCTACTCACCCAGAAGGGGTTGGGTTCAGATTTTCAATTAGCAGCCTGTTGCCCAGGTCCTCCAAAGCAAGGAGTTCTCTCCTTACACTTGGAGAGCAYGTGTTTTATTCAGTACCTTTCTAACTGATAACACATCTATATGCTAGGCAGCACTACACTTTGAAAACTTTATTTAATTAATTGACCCTATGACTCATTAATCTTCTGTTATTGTGTCTGTTTATGGTTTTACTAAGCTAGGTTATSAGGTGTTGGGAGGAGAAGTGAATAGTAAGTAGGATGTAAAGTTTCTTTCCTGTGTTGGCTTCCATCATGTAGTGCTTAAGCATTCTTGAAAGCTATAGCTGCAGCAGAGAAGTCCCTAATAAACCCATAAAATTAGCTTGAGATCCTTTAAAACCCCAAAAATGTGATTAAGCTTCTTTATAAATCATTATATCCAACCAAGAAGCAGACGGAGTCTGCCTTAGTTGCCTCTCTAAATCCAGAGTGTTTAAAACTTCCTCTGTCACTAGTGAGACCTTCTGAACTTAGAAACAAAAAGAGGAGTGTTGCTTGCCAGGAGGAACAAAGGCAGATTAGATAAAACTAACATCACAACCCCCTGACTTTTTCCTTTTCAAGAGCTGAGCAATGGAGATGGTGTTTACAGTGAGAGATATTTACGCTGCTGATTTTATGCTGAGAGAACACTAATATCTGCTAACTCTGCCCTGCACTGAGCTCGTGYAGAAATAGTTGACAATGTTTATGTTTTGGCCTGAAACTGTCTCTACTAGTAGACAGGTCTTGCCTGTGGCAACCCATTAKAATTGAATCCTTGTGTAGAACCACAGAACAATGTAAGTTGGAAGGGAGGTCTGGAAGGCATCTAGACTGATGCTTTCCAAAGCAGGGAGCACTCAAGAGCTGCTTGGRACCTTGACAGTCTTGACATAGCACCTGCTAGAGACATTGTAGGAATTTCCTTGACACCAGTTGATGTTACTTGGGGCCATAGTTCCCCTTCATGTTGCTGATACATAATCYTTCAGAGTGAGTAAGGCAGAACAAGAAAAAATCATGAGGAGTAGAAATGTTTGCGGATTTACAGTACAGCAGGTGCACTGTAGAGTCCTCCTTTTTGGATAACTCAGCTCAACTTTTACCTTCAAAGCACACAGGACTGCCTGGACATGCTGTGGGTAAAAACACTGTCAGGAATAGCTGAGGAGGGTCTACGGGGAAGGGTTTGATGGGGTGGCTAAACATGGGCTCCACTCACACACAAGAATGCTTCAGTCACTGCTATAACATACCTGTTTGTCTACTATAATATAAGATTATGGGACTTAGCAGTCAGAGCAACAGTACCATGTAATGGCTTCACGCAGCGTGCCAGGTTTGCTTCAGTCACCTATGGATGCAAATGACATTTTAGCATTGAAGAACTGGCATCATTTAAGTAGTCTAGACTGCTTAATAAGAGAACAAGTGATCTGAGTGCCAAGATGAAATGTGCTTTATGTCACTGGCTGGTCACACTCTCATCGCTGCCTGCTGATGCATGGTACTTCTCYATAGAGAGTTTCAAGCATGTTTGAACTGTTGATAGCTCAAAAACATTAGAAAAAAATGTCTTCATCTAAACTAAGTGTCTTTTAAATCTCTCAGGAAACCCATTGGAAATGCTTTGGTATTTATGAATGCATTTGAAGTCTTTAAATTTAATACAAGCTGATAGGTTGATGGAGACCCTTCAGCAGAAAGTCCTCTTAAAATGGGAGACATTACAGTGAGATACAAAATTCCTTACTGTAAAAAATGAGAAAACTGAATTTTAAATTGAGYTCAGTTCACATACTAGAGAAGCTTGTAAGAAAGACTTCTTTTTTCAAAAAGAAAGCAAAATGAATTCTTTTTTTTTTCCTTTTTATAATTTATTGGAGGCAGAGATCATCTTCCTATCTACTTCCACTAGATCCACTGTTACCACCTCTCTCCAATGCTGTAAGAATTCCTTCTCTTGGGAAGGAATTGTCAGTTATTGGGTATTTGCACAATGTCTCATAAAATGGTATTGGCCTTCCAGAGACTAAAGACTGCAGAGGTCTCCAAAGCTGGAATGTCCATGCCATGACAGCAGCCCCCTTACAGGTTAACTAGGATGGCTCTTGGCTTTAACTGCCCAGAATCTGGTTCTTTGATCCAACTTTCAGCAAATAGCTGAATGAATGATTCATCTCATCCTAATGCGCACCCCTAGGTGAGAAAAACTAAGTTCTAGAAATGCCTGTCTCTTTACCTACTTTTAAGGAGAATTAAGATGACTACCTTTAATAAGATGAATGCATAGAGTTATTTAAGCCAAAAGAGCTATCTGTTGTGAGGACTAGCATAGCAGGGGAAACTTGGAAAAAGACAAGCTGCTCTGAATCTATCATCTCGTATTTAAACAACACTTACTTGCTGTGCAAGCACCACTGCCAGGCTGTCAAAGCCACCCCATCTCCCATACAACTCATCCCACCTATTTTTGAGTATGTCCAATGCACCAGACCACATGTGAGCTAATGACCCTGAGTTCCCCTTCCAGCTGGAAGACCAAAACACCGTATACAGTATTTGAATCTACCTTCTGATGAAATGAATGATGCCTTARAAATACCTCTTTCCCATCACTATCCATTTTTACTTGGTCACAGCAATAGGAAACTGAGTTCTAGCATTGTCAAAGAGTCAGTGCATCTTTGCTGTCTCTTTGAAGAGAATGAAGATATTGTAAGTGTCTGAAACCAACCCCAAGCTCCATTCTATAGTAGAGGGGAAGGAGATTGCAGTTTTTGTGTCTTAGCTGAAGCCTACAGAGAAGGAAGAGTCTAGGATGGACTAGGTCCTGGATAGAGGAAGCAAATTTTCTGTTCTCAGCTACTGAGAAAGAAAAGGGAAAGTTAACACGAGAAATTGCTGAAGCAAGTGCACAGTCAGCATTCGAGAAAAACCACATGACCAACACCTCAGGAAGGTGGCACTGAGGGAGCTGATGAAAATGTCCATTTCCAAACCAACATCCCCCAAATTTGCTAGGGAGCAAATGGCATGTCTGGAATTTCTGTATAAGATTACTCAATTTCACTGCTACAGGAGACTGTAAAACTTTTCCTATCTCACAGTGACACTGCTGACATCAAATGGTGRCACAATAGGGCTGCTCGTGTATATACATTTCCCTTATCACTTTCTATTAATGCTCTAACTTAATGATCGTTCATCATTCTGTACTCTAGCAATGCTGCAGGCAGTTGAARGTGCATCCAAGGGAAGTGCACCTAGTGCACAGATTCTTCTGTCCTGTTTGTAATTGCCGCCTCATAGCAGGTATCATAGCATAGCATAGCAGGTATTACATCACTTCTAAAACATATCTAAAGTCTTTCCAATGAATGCTGCATTTGGTTTGTGTATGTGAAGTACCAGGAGATTTCAGGTATCCTCTTGTAATTACACAGTAAAATGTGTAGCACCAGGTTTATGTGAG